ACATTATGCCCTCACCAAGTGATAACCTTTATTATCTTAATGAACGTGAAATAGCGATTTGAGCTGACGTCTGAAAGATGAATCTTTAATATAGTCTTCAATGGAACGTATTGAGTAAAACATTTTCTCTTTCACAACTTCATACGCTAATTTCCTTCCATTTCTTAAGTGAATCAGTAGAATATTTGGTAATCACAAATTAACAAAGACCTAAACATTAACGAATGCGAATCATGTCAAGATCACAATTCACGGATCGCTACTCTGCAGAGAACTCACTCCAGCTCTTCATCTTTAACATTAATTTGGTTTTCTCCTCCATGCAAACACGATGCTCTTCGGTCACTTCTATCTACAAATTTGTCACGCAATGATTCCGCCTACATTGAAGTTTTTTTACCTTCACGCACATATAGAAATGATCTGTTAGATCCTGTAAGCGCATTATTCCTTTAGATATAGACGCATCAAATCATCCTGCTTCCCTTACAAAATTTATAGGCGTGCACGACTCATGCATTAGAGCCGCCTAGGACTCGGGGAGCATGTAAAGCTTCTTCTCTATGTCTGCTTTGGCTCAGGGTTACAAGGGCAGCCTCCCAGAGTTAGGGAACGTTCACTCAAAACATTCAGAAACGTTACTCAAAATGTTCGGAAACGTTCGCTCAAAACGTTCAAAAACGTTCACTCAATGCGTTTTGGACCGTTCACTTAAAGCGTTCGGAAACGTTACTCAAAATGTTCGGAAACGTTCACTCAAGACGTTCAAAAATGTTCACTTAATGCGTTCGGGACCGTTCACTCAAAGCGTTCGGAAACGTTACTCAAAATGTTCGGAAACGTTCACTCAAAACGTTCAAGAACGTTCACTCAATGCGTTCGGGACCGTTCACTCAAAGCGTTCGGAAACGTTACTCAAAAGGTCCGGAAACGTTCACTTAAAACGTTCAAAAACGTTCACTAAATGCGTTCGGGACCGTTCACTCAAAGCGTTCGGAAACGTTACTCAAAAAGTTCGGAAACGTTCACTCAAGACGTTCAAAAACATTCACTTAATGTGTTCGAGACCGTTCACTCAAAATGTTCAGAAATGTTCACTCAAACGTTCAAAAACGTTCACTCAATGCGTTCGGGACCGTTCACTCAAAACGTTCGGGAACGTTCACTCAACGCATTCAGAAACGTTCACTCATTATCCATTAAACAGTCGAACATTGCCAGCAAGGTGCGGGCGCTCAACAAAAATCATTCACTCAATCGTGACGAGTGACAGCCATGAACACGGTGTACAAGTCCTAAATAATTGTAATGCACCATTTTTATTCTCCTCTAGATGTCAAGTTTCTCCTATGTACACATGAGGTATATCGCAATAGATTTATTTCAACACGCCCAGTAAGTGAGCTGCTCGAACGTGCTGTGGACCTATTACAACAATATATAATTTACAGTTGACAAAAGTTACCGATTAAAAAGATAATTTCAACAATCCCGATAAAATCAGGCCATATTAATTGTGGTGTAGTGGCCTAACCATCGCGTGTGACGCGGCGTTAGACTGGCACTCACCGAGTCAGATCACACGCGTCTCTCGTCACGTTACGAGTAGAACGGTAAAACTGTACGCCTTGAACTTCCTTAAGAAAGCAGTGGCAGAAAACACAAAAATATAACTCAGTACTCACTGCAGTGAGTGACAGAGAGCGCATTTCCTCGTCGACGAAAACGTGGTCACGGACGGACAGATGGACAGACAGACAGACGGACGGACATGACGAGCACAATGGCGCCTTTTTTCCTTCAATGAAAAAAATGCGCTAAAAATAATAAAGCAAAGCGACGGTAATATTCGGAGCCGTGATAAACCAAAGTAGTAATCATTTGAGAGATTCAGTTTCATATCAAACGGCATCGAAACAGAATAAATAGAAAATTGACGTTAAGCAGACGATTTCCCAAGGTTGGCAGACGCAATTAAAATCTAAAACCAGTCGCTATTAGCTGATGTTGTAGAATTTAGAGCAACAAGGGTGCCATGAGCAGTGGAGTTGCTACAGTTGGTAAGCTATATCTCCACCTAAGAAGTCAACACGAATACAGTTTTAACGAATACTCGAACACAAAATTGGCACGCAAATTCCATTGCTAAATACATTTCTAATTGCAGGAAATCATTGCCGTAATTCTCAGGACGGCAATGCAATTGGTTTGTTCGTGGGTTTATCCAAGCGTTTTTCAGATATATGCAACACATAAAGGCAAACAATTTCAAGTAATCAGGCTGAGGGCTCAGAATATGATGCAGCTCGGCAAAGATATTCAGTGCAGTTTGGGGGCCGTAGGAGAGGTGGGCGGCAGGCGCGTCTCGAAGAACTCCATGACGTGATAGCCTCGCGTCTCGCTTACGTTGTTTCCGCCGTCATCAATAAAGCGTACAATTAAACAATCAAGATGTAATAATATTGTTCACTGTGACTACTTGTTTGGTCTATGGTGACCTTAAACCTGGTCAATTTACCAGTTTCGAAATACCAACAGTCAATATGTTAAAAGCTCATATACAGTAAATAGATCATTTTTTCTGCTGACCAGCCAACAGGACCAAAATACTCATGAACTGAATTAGCTTTTTACTCGAGCCAAGTTACGTAGCTGAACCCATTATATTTTTACAGTATACAAGCGCATTTATCGGAAACCTTACGGAAATAGTAAATCCATAATTGTAACATGATAAACAGGTAAATTTTCTCTAGTTCATGCTAATTAATCGGCCAAACAGAAGTCTAAAAATAATGAAGTAAGCATTGCCCTCTCATAAATCATCTGAACTCCTCTCATATTCAGAGCTAGCAATCATCCCGCGCTTACATACTGTTAATTGTTCAGCTTCACGCTTGAATTATTAATAAATCAAATGTTATAACAGGCTTACGCTTTTTAGCGCATTTTCTCTTTATAGAAAAAATGCACTATTGTGCTCGCCATGTCCGTCTGTCTGTCCTTCCGTGACTTCACATTTTCGTCAATTTTAAGAAGCGGGCATTCCTGTATCAAAGATACGACATCTCTAGCTCTAATGCACTGTACTAATCGCAATGAAAACTGATTTATGCACAAGAAAATGCGCTCTCTGTCACTCACTGCCGTGAGTACTGAGTTATATTCTTTTCAATAGCAGCGGCATTTACTGTGTCAATGATCTGGAAGTCGAGAAGGTGGCTCTTGTAATCAAGGCGGTAGAGCTGCAGCGACATGTGCACCAGCGCGCCCATGATGGGGTTCCTGCGTCGCATCGCACTCGGAACGGATCCATCTCCTGCACATAACAAAACGCGGACGATAACGCACGACACTCGCTTCCTATGTTGCTCTCTCTCTCTCGTAAAACTGAGAGAGAGTTTTCTCTTTTTTCATGGAACTAATAAAATCCCGCAATGATTGCAAATTTAAGGAAATGATATCAGCGTTGACGTCCATGAGCGACCACGGTAACCTGACGATGCTTGTGCAATTCAAATCGCCCAACTCGTGATTCCCGAATAATAAAATCGCAGTCTTTCAAATTACGGTCAATACTTTGATGAGGATGAAGCGCAACCTAGAAATCCTGGATCTCCAGGATTGGAAATCTCCAGTGCCTGGAGAGCATGAGCAAAAGTCTTTAGGCCGGCCATGTTGAGCCAGTTCCTGACGAAGAGCGACAACCCCCAGGGGGAAATGCTTGGTGGCTGCCCGCGTTTCCCGTCAAACATCCAAAGAAAAGCAAGGTGCGTCTCGTGTTTGACAGCTTGGTGCAGTATCATGGTGCCAGTCTGAATCAATCATTGCTCAATGGTCCAAATAAAATAACCGGCGTATATAGGCGGGCTGCTGAGATTTATAAACTGTGAATTCGGTTTTTCTGCAGATATTGAACACATGCTCTAAAAATTCTACCTGCCTGTATAAGAGATAAAGATTACCTTCGCTTCTTTTGGTTTAAGAACAATGCACTTCACGGGTAATTTGTTCAATATCGGGACGTGTGCATCTATTTGGCAATAAACCCAGTACAACAATAGCGCAATACGGACCACACGACGCAGCGCGACACCATGAATCCGATTAGGCGCGTCTGTCCTGTCACTACAAGGCTTTAATCGAAAATAATTTCTACATCGATAATGGCCTGCATGCGAAGTGCTCGTACTCCATAAAAATATATAAAAACGCTTGAAGGTGCAAGATCCATACTTGAAAGGTTTAACATCAGCTTGAATAAAATTGCATCGAACTCCCAAGAAGTGATGAAAGCCTTTCCCAAATTTTCAGACTCTCTTGAAGCTGACCTTAAGGAGAATACCATTCTGCGAACAGGCTTGGGACATCGCATGGGACGAATTGATCATAAAGGATGATGTTCCCCTCAGACCTTTTAGGCTTGGGACCTCGCAAAGGACGAATTGATCACCAAGGTAGATCTTCTCACACAGACCCTTCACTAAAAAAGATTTGTTTCCGCCGTAAATTCTCTCTACGACCCACTCTGCATAGAAAAGAAGGGTATTGGATGCCACAACTTGGCAACAGGACCCTAAGTTACGATTAATTTTCTGCTCTATGGAGAATTCTATAGGTAATATTCTGGAGCTGTAGGTAAGATTGTGCTTGTACGTCGTGAAATAATCCTTATGTCCTAACCATATTATTTGTCGCTCTAGAGCTTAAATAAAAGAGCAACAAATATTGTTACGGACAAGTTAAGGGTGAGATAGAATCAACAATTTTATAACAGAGAAAATCGACTGCTTAAAAAATATTTTAAAATGCTTCTTTTTCCAGTAATTATTTTTCATAGTTCCCTAACATCAGTCAACACTTTTCTTTGAAACATTCTAATTAAATCTGCAGCACATTATTTGTGAACTGAATTCTGATTGTATTGCAATACCTAAAAAGTTGACGGTATTGTTTTGTCTTTAAATGCGGGCGATTCAAGTTTTGGAAAAAAAAAAGCCTCTCATTGTACGTTTTATTCATTGATTCAGATTTTCTAAAATTAATCTGTGATTATAGTTTCCATCGCAGAAGTTCGAGCCAATGCTGCCGTCCTTTTATTTAGTGTCCTTTGCCTTTTCCTTTGCCCTTGCCAGGCTCTGGGAATGGTTTTGGTTCAGCAATAGCGCCAGCAGCCATCATCATTACGGCGAGTGCAATCAGACTCAGGTTCTGAAGAATTAGAAGGACAAATTATGATTTATATCTGTCCCTTTAGAATATGTAATAATTCACAAAATATATTTTTAATATTGTAAATTAATAACATTGCATCAAAACACAGGTATTTGCGACAATATTTCGTTGTATTTGATAATATTCAGCATTGATATGACATAACTAATATTCTTCATAAGATTCAGTAGTGCCGCGGAGTCCGGGTACTTACGAAGAAGGAGGCCATTATGATGTAGTCACTGTGAGCGGTAGCAGTCAAGTGATGGAGTAGGTCGCTGCGCTGCCTCTTATATACCCTGGCGGCGACGCTGGGGCTGGATTATAAAGCGCAGCCAACCTTCACTGCCTGAGCTCAACCTGACGCAGGCGCTGTTGAAGCTAGAGCCACGGCACCGTGGAGGGCAAAACTACTAGAGACACGGCAACATGGAGGGCAAAACTACTAGAGACACGGCACCGTGGAGGGCAAAACTACCGCAAAGTAAAATCTCGTCTAAATCTGCTCGAGACAACGCGCTGAGGACGGAGTTAAAATCCTTTGTACATAGCAACTTGTCAACCGTTTATCAAAATAAGATAACAAATTGTGACACTATATTACTAGGTGTTTAAAAATATGAGAACAAAACGAATGAGATAGTCACGTCAAGAACGCTTGGAAGTCTCAGAATGCGGTAATGGTAATGATAGGTAGGTAATGTATAATACAGGCAGAGACTCAGAAAAAAATATTAGTTTAACCTAGCGGCATCATCGAAAGCTCGAAGTAGTGTTAGAATAGTGTCGCCCTTTTCCTTGGTCTGTTCGGGACATCCATAATTTTCTTTTCGTTTGTCTTCTCTAAGGTAATATAGACATGACATTTTTTACAGGAGATGATATCGGACGTCTAAAAGAATCATTGAGTGTTGAACTGGAAGCTGCATGTTTGCTTATCGCACGCAAAGCTGGCTGTATGGTGGGAATGATTTATTTTTTCTGGGTACGTGTTACAATAGGACTAGAACCATAGAAGCAATGCGTAGTGAGTACTTCAAGATGTTGTTGCGAGCCTCCCTCAGACATGTGAGGTTCATCCGCCATGTAAGAGTTTGTCTAAGACCGTGAAGGCGCTGCCAGCTGTAATGAACTGTTTGAAGTTAAAAAGTAATGCATTTTCTAATCTGCCGTTCGATATACAGCGAGTGTTTAAGAAGGATGTTATGGAGTTTTGAATTTTAATTCCGCTACTATTTACAGTATATCGGTCGAAAATACGCGTCATGTTCAACTAAACGAGAATTCTGGGGCATGCCACTGCAGTGGCAATGCGTAAACTGTAAATTTTCGTTTGATGGGACTGGCTTATTATTTTTGTCGTGTTTGATGGCTTTAGACTTTGCATTTTAAGACTATGCATTTTAATTCTATGCACCTTTACTTTGCCCTGATTGCCGTGTTCATATTTTTCTCTTATAAACCATAACGCCTTATCCTGCAACTTAATTAATGTTTTTTCGCGTTTGCGTGAAAAACTGCACATAGAGTCTAAGTATGTATAATGCGGTTTTACATTTACTATCCGTATCAAACGCAGCATATTTTTCTCTCATTAACCATAACGCATGATCTTGTAACTTTATTTTTTTTCGCGTTTGCGTTAAAAAATGCATATATAGAAGCTAAGTATGTATAATGCAGTTTTCCATTTACTCTTCGTATCAAACGTAGCATATTTTTCTCATTGTTTAACATCTCGAGTGTTGGGCGCTGACGCGACGCGCGTATATGCGCACCGTTGAGACCGCGCACTGCTGTGTCGCAAGCCGCAGCTCGCTAAGCAACAAGGCGACGATTGCCGTGTCTCTGTGACTGGCGCGCACGGCGCTCGGTCCACGCGCATAACTGCTAACAATACTTCGATTTAACGACAATGAAGCGACAAAATCATTGAAACTTTCACTCCGCACTATTTTAATATGTTTGCGATAATATTCATATTGCTTTAAAACCGGTTCATTGTGGGTGTGGTGAAAGAAGTATCAACAAAAAATTACCTGCTAATCTAACAAACAGTGGTTATATTTTAACTCAGCGTACAAGTTGCTAACTCTTTTGTGCGGCAATAAATTTGGAGAAATCCTTCTCGTTGAGAGTTGTTTAATTGCCTTTTGATTTAGTTGAACATATTTTGTGACGAAAAAAATCAGAATATTTTAACGAAGGTAATATAGGTGTACTGGGTCGTTAGTAATACCTCTTCTTAATTTAGTCGTAAATGTGAGCGCACTGTAAGGAAATGTCTTAAGATACTTGCAATTTTTCATTTAGGTATCAAGTGACCACTGCTGTTGTTGGTATTGCTTATAAAACAACTGTAGCTCAGCAGAAATTTCTCCAGCTTTTATTCAAATGACATTTACGGATCAAATTTGCAGTCAAATTTATTTCTTGACGGTGTGTACAAGGTTTTGGTCTTGCTTTCGTCTTCAATATAATGTAATATAGGTAGCTGTAGCGTAGTCGGCGTATACGTGAATCGCACGTGAGCTATGCCCCGTCACACCCTGCTTGTTCTGAAGTAAATAAAAAACTAACTCGCGAAATAATCGAGATATTATTGTAAATAATTCAATAGTCAAATGAGAACATAATTACCTTAAATTCAAAATCCACTTAAGAGGCTGAAGCCAAGTAATGCGCCGAGTTAAGTTGGTGAGAAGGATTAGCCCAGTGAGAGTATAAATTAATGCATGCGGTTAATTGGAATTAGTAATAGTTGCGGTGTAGAAACTTGAGATCTTAATTCGAATAAACTGGGCCAATCAGGTGAAAGACATGCAAATGAATGAGGTTGATGAATGAGAGGAAATTTAAGGCGAATAAGACTCGTTGACAAAACCAGCGTCTGACAATGCTCGTCTCTTCTCTACTAAATCAAAGGTAGAGAGCGACGTAAACTCTTTCTTTACTCTAAGAAAGATAGAAATTTAAATCTAATTTTTAACATTTTAATTTTCAAAATCTCTATAAATTAAATTTCTAATACTGTGACCTGGTATAGGAATGCTTTTACCTGTTATTGCGTCTCGCGATTCAACCATGTAGGTACGTTAGTATTTTGACCTTGGTAATTTCGCGTTAATCATGTCCGTGTTGAGTGAGCGAAATTAACTATAAATGATGTGAAAAATTTTATTATTCCAAGTTCTTTGTCTACATGTATTATATTTCCGCTTTATGTATGTCCTGCTATGTTGTTCTTTATATTTTTTGTCGCAGGTCCTGAAGTGAAACTCAATTAGTTTCCAGAAGGGCTTGGGGCTTTCAGTTGTTTCATGTAAACTCTTTTCCGTGCACATCTATACGATTACGTTCTGGTATGCCTAATCTCTTCCCTTAACTTATGATCAGGTTCATGACTACGTGGCTATGAAAACATGGTTAATTTTCTCCTTAAACAACTGTTATTTAGATTATAAAAAAGTCATGATTTCTCTGTAATATCACGTACAATTAAAGATTAAGTAGATCAGTTGTTTTTGTTGTTGTTGTAGCAAGCTTGATAAGTAGATCAGAAACTACTCTGAACATCAGGGTTATTTTCATATAAAATAATTTGGGGCTAAACTCCATCATAGAGATGAGCATCGAGACGCTTTCATATAGCGGCCGTGTCGAAATGTTTTTTCAATCACAAATTCACGTGCATTTTTAATGATGCTTTTTTCAATAAATGAACATATTGCGGGATAAGTTCCGTTAGAGTTTACGTTGAAACATTAAATTTTCATATCTTACGAATTTTTCTTATATATATTGTGCGAATTTAAACGAATTCAAAAGAAGATGAGTTCATGATTTGTAAATCGGAGCAAGTGGAAAGAACTTGTTAATTGGTATCGCTTGATCGAAAACCTGTGGTTTTATCTTGAGACTTCTTCTCGTAAGACGGCCCACATGAGACTACCGCCGATGCTCGAATGTTGTGCTGATGAAGCTGTGAGTGAAGAGTACAACCTATCAAGACTCAAATGGATCAGAGATTTTCTAGTAGGGAGACGACAACCTGTCAGTACTAATGGGTCCGTTTCAGACTGGGCTTCAGTGCGCAGCGGCGTGCCACAAGGAAGCGTTTTATTCGTTGCTTTTATAAACGATCTGCCAGAAGCTGTGTCTAGCGTTTGCTCGATGTATGCTGACGACACAAAAATTTATAATACAGTGAAGAATACGTCGCAAAAAGTACAGTTGCAAGGTGATCTTGACAGGCTGGTTGACTGGGCTGATAAGTGGCAGCTGCGTTTTAACGCTGACAAGTGTAAAGTTATCCCCCTTGGCAAGAATAATGAACAGCAAGATTACAGTATGAGAAGACACGGTTGCAACGACAGAGGGATGATGTCGAAGTCGACAATGGAAAAAGATTTAGGAGTTAATATCGACAATGAGTTGAAATTTTCTAAGCATATTGAAGGTCAAGTTAATAAAGCCAATAAACGACTTGGGCTGATCAGACGCTCTTTCGAATTCCTAGATGCAGAAGCGATGTAGCAGTTATTTGTTGCTGTCGTGCGCCCAAACCTAGAGTTGGAAACGTCGTGTGATCACCGAAACTTGAAAAGGACAGAAATTTAGTAGAGAGTGTTCAAAGACGTGCAACACGGATAATTCCGGGCTTGAAATGGCAAGTCCTATGAGGAAAGATTAAATATTATGAAGCTTCCAAGCCTCATGCAGTTATCGACGTCTGCGTGGGGACCTTATTGAAACATATAAGCATACTCATGGCTTATACAAGGTCCCAGAAGGATTACTAGAATTTTAAACAGGAACCAAAACCAGGGGCAACGGGTATAAACTAAAAAACTGCATTGTAACACATCCATGCGACAACATTTCTTCTCGCTTCGAGTCACCGACATGTGGGACAGCCCTTCTGATAGCATCGTTGACGCTCCGAGAATGAACGCCTTCAAGAACAGACTTGACGAAGCTATGAAGGAGCATATGTTCAGTCTTAAAATACCCAGCAAATTACGGACCAGGCAATAAGTCCAGCAGCTATCTCAATCAATCGTCAGCTATATGGAGAGATCGGGTTCCAAAGGCCGAATCCCTTAATGTGAATCAAGTCACGAAAAGTTCATGAATCGGCAACAGGCCATGGGTTTATTTCTTTAGTGCCGATATTTCTATTCTATTTAAGATGCGATTGTACATGTTCCTGGGCACAACCCCTGATCGTCTGCCCTCATACCGCCATCATCGACACGAAGCAAGCAACAACAG